CCCGCACTCTGCCTGTGACATTGGGGCTGAAGTYGGAGCTGCGAACGATGACCATGCCATCAGGAGCCATGCAGGAACAGCCCTGGAATCAAAACCATGCAATACCCTGCACTAGAAGGGACCCACAAACATCATCAGCATCCAAGCTCTGGGGCCACGTGGCCCCGAGCAGCTCCTCATGGACCATGCAGTGCCCGTGGAAGGTGCAGCTCCCTCAGGGCACGCAGAGCTCTGTGTGGGTCCTGCTGGCAATGGCACTGCTGTGGGCACACAGCCCCCTACCTTGCTGCTGCCAACATCTTGCAGGTGCTGGGGATCCCGGGGTTGCCCCTTCACTGGCACCCTGGGGCAGGAAATGCCACCAGATTCCCGTGGAGTCTGACACAGTCCTAAGGAGCCAAGGGAAAAGCCTCCACCCGGCAGTGAGCCAGACCCCACCAACAGCAGCACTGGTGCCCTGTCCTGCCTTGCTCCAGCCCGGCATTACCCCGATGCTGAAGCACATCTGCATATCCGGGGAACCGATGTGGCTCCGCATGGCTGCAGGCCAGGACAGGCTGAAGCAGCACCATGTCCATGTTCATGGGAAGAGATGTGTCTCCGTGTTTAGGGACGGAAGCTGTGTGTGAGCTTAGGTGTGGGATTGTGTCCGTGTTTAGGGGCAGGAGCTGTGTGTCTGTGTTCAGGCTGATGCCAGAGAGGGCACAGGCYCACCCTCTGCTGTGCTCTATACCACAGGACTGTTCCAGGGATTGTCCCTGTGTTATGTGGCTCTCAGCAGCAGCAGTGACCACTGCAGCTTCATGGTAGCCCTGTGAAGACCCTGCCCCAAGCAGCCAGCAGCACTCACTCCATTGAGCCAAGGCTGGAGCAATGGGGAGGGAAGTGGGTGCCACAGGACAGGAGCCAGGGATGCTGACTCGTGCCATGTGTAAATCCATGGTATGCAGCCTCAGGCTGGAAACCAGCCAYACCGCAGGTTTGCAGTGCTTCCCAGAAAGCCTGGGAACAGCCAGAGGCAGCCCCACAGGGCACAACTTACAAACAAAGCCCCACAGGCCTTCTTGTAACCCCAGGTGAGTGGGCACAGCCTCCTGAGGATCTGTAGGTGGGCAGCAGCAGGGCAGGGTGCAGCACTGCCCAKCCCCGAGGCAGCTGCGATCACACGCTGAGCACATGCAGAGATGCTTTGACAAGAGATGATGGGAGCAGAGATTGTGCCACAGGGCTGCACCTTCCTGTGCCCGTTCAGCCTTGCCTCCAGGAGAAAAGGCACAGGCGTGTCAGAGTCCCAGCTCCCTTGGCCTGAGCTCACTAAAGTACAGCACCAGCACACTCCACTACAGCACCTGCACCCTGCGCCTGTTCGTGGGTATCATTTGCGGGTGGGTGCAGACACCCACAGCACAGGGACTCACAAAGCCCTGTGGGGAGCTCCAGCCTGGCTGCTGGGGACAGTGCACAAGCTGGCACAGGCTGCAAGGGAGTTGGGGAGTAGTCAGAGGGAGCTCATGACCCTTCCCAGGTGCCAGCCATTGGAACATTGTTTSTCTTCGGCACCTGAGCTAGTCCTGGAGCCACCGGCTGATGAATGGCACCAGCACCATATTGTGGGCCATCGCATCTTCGTSCAAGGCCCTTGTCAAGGAATGCTGAGAACCAGCTTTGTTGTACTGAGTGAGTAAACACTCTGTGGAATGCAATTCTCCTTTCCTGGTTCTTTAAGGTAAACAAGAGGACAGGTTCGTGAAGGGAGGATTCCCTTGTAAATGCTGAAATTGCCTTCCTTAGGGCAAATTTTTCCTTAGGGCAAAATAAGTTGTTCATATGAATGTGTGTATATATATGTGCATAAACATCTTCGTATAAACAAACTCATGTCCATGTATATACACACATCTCTGTGTCTGCACCTGTATCTACCTTTTACTCTGTGTGTGCACACGTGTGCCCATGGGTGTGTGTTCACATGCACATACATGTGCACCATTGTGTGTGTTTAGATTCCTTCCCCCACCAGTTCCTACTCCAGGACACAGGATAACAGCCAGAAGCTGGCAGATGGGAAATTCCAAATAGATGCAAGGGAAAAGCATACAAGGAAGGTGGTTGGACACTGGTACAGGAGCCCAAAGAGGAGGGGTTGCTCACYCTTGGAGATACTGGAAGTCAGATGGACAAATTCTTCAGCATCTTGAATGGGACAAACTTTGAGCAGGTGTTGGAGCAGAGACCTCCCAAAGCCCCATGCAGCTTCCTGGCTCAATTGCCCTGGGTCTGTCTTTACTGCCCAGTTTTYCACTGTGGCTCCCCTTCTTCCACGAAACCCAGTGTGGCACAGCACCCAGAGTTCCAGCTCTTGGGGACCCCCACAGCTCTCCCATCTGGAGAGAGGCCACGCTGCTCAGTGCAGTGTGGGCAGTGCCGTGCACTGTGCTCACTATGCAGTGCTTTGCTCTCTGCTGTGCAGGAAGCACCAGAGCCATTGCAATGCTCAGCGTTCACAGAGAGCTCTGCTCTGCTCCGCTCAGTGCCAGGAACACTCTGCTGCTCTGCAGCTCTCTCCAGCAGCGCTGGTGACAGCATGAGTCTGTCACCTGCAGCAGCACTACACAGATCTGCACCTCTGCAGCACTTGTGGGAATTTTAACATGGCTGTTTGTAGGGTTGCAGTCTGTACAAGCTCTGGGACTGGTCTAATATAAAAACACARAAAAGACAAAACTGAAATATTTTCCATGCAGCTGAAAGCTGTAGGTGTTGCATGAACCTCAGTGGCAGTCGATGGATGAACACGCAGGGGAGCACGTGTGCTCTGCCCACAGATTTTGGGTGGGCAGTGGCCTGTACCATGAGAAAGGTGCTTTAAGGACCCAATGAACCGGTGCTGTCACCAAGACAGGACATAGCAAACCAGTGTCAGCTAGAAATGCCCAGTGGAAATGAGGGAGTTCTTCGACCTTAAATTACAATTTGACTTCTTTTAATGTCACTGCCCTAACCCTGGAGTTGTGGACACTTTCTGCAGTGTTGTGGTTAACGTGCACTGCTGTGCTGTGTTCGGCTGCAGCGGCACAGACCCCTCGTGTGGACACATTTGCAGCAGCAGAGCCCTGCTCGTAGCTGCAGAAAGGCTTTAGCCTGCCCCCCACTGCCCTCCCACCAGCTAGCCAGAGGTGTGTGTGCCAGCTCATGTGCAAGAGTCACTGCAAATGGGTGTGTTCCCKTTGCAGCCATGTAACACAGCTAAGGTCAGTTCCTGTTTCAGACCAACACCCACCTGATGAGGGAGAAGTGGTGCAGGTGCAGGCAGCTCTACACCACTATCGAAAAGGGAGCTGAGAGCAGGGCAGTGGGGGCTGCTGCCAAAGGACATTTATTCCCCTGATCCAGAGTGAATGCCTACCTGAAGAGGCCAAATCCGTGCTGGGGATGCTGTGAGCAACACCAGGCGAGGTAGTTACTGAGGATACTTTCTTGTTTCCAGATCAGTGGTGCAGGTACAGTCAGGTGTCCTGCAGTGTAAGGCAGCTATGTTGAGAAACCAGATCCTGAGAGGATCCCGCAGAACTGTCTCAGAACCTGCAGAAAACATTTCTGCGGAAAGAGGCACCCACCAAGGACATCTAGAAGCATACCTTTGTCCARATGGTTGCTCTACTCTGAGCTGTGGGCCACACAAGCAACTGGAGCCAACAGCCAAAGGGCACTGATAGATCTGAAGTACCAGGGCACTGCAGGAGGACTCAGCTGTACAGGCTGAGCATGGGCCCCACACTCCAGGTGACCAGAATGTACCTGACGAAGAGGGAAGGGACATGAGGAGGGAGCATAGAGATGGCCAAGTCCTTGCTATGGCATCAGGTTGGGCACCCAGGAAGATAGAGTCAGCTCTGGCCATCAGGGATATTTCCTGCTCTCCCAAGCTGCATCTCCCAGGGAAAGTGACAACAGCTGGCTGGACCCTTTGTGACCCATACTCCCTATCAAACCTCTGAGCAACTGGCACCCCAGCAAAACCTTGGAGAGAGCCTTTCCCCTGTCTGGGAACCTCTTGTGGCATTGCAGTGGGTACTGCTATCCCARCACAGGCATAGGAGCTCCCTTGCCCCATGGACTTACTGATACTTGTCAAACCAGAGCAGAGGTTCTGAAGGCTGGACACTCAGGAAGCCACAAGGCCCTTGTGCTGCTGACTCGGCTTGCAGCTGTGCTCTGTGCAAAACGGGGTCTTCATGGGGTTCTGGAGCTGGGCTCAGTATCTGAGATGGCTGGCTGAGGAGGCAGCATCTTATGCKATAGCTCTCAAGAGCAGAGAATCCTACCCTGGGAGCCCTGGATGTGCGAGCCCCTTTCGTTTTTGCTCCTATTCCAGTGTCCCGGGGGCCGCAGCCGTGTTGGGAAGCTGCAGCAGCACACACATTCCCACACCCCGGAGCTGCGGAGGCGGTCCTGACCGAGTGCTGGCCCCGGCGGGAGGGCGGACCCGGGGATGCTCCCGGGCTCTTCCCGACCCCTCCTCTGCTTTTCTCCCTCCCGCGTCTCGGCACCGGCACAGCAGCGGGTGCAATGGAGCCCGCAAGGCCACTGCTGTTTCCTCGCACAGCCTCCGCCTCCGCGGGACCCGGTACCGGTATCGGCACCGGCCCTAGGGGCGGGTGAGCCCCGGAGCCTCCCCTTGTCCCCATCCACTCGCCCTCCCCGACCTCCGCGGCCGCCCCTCAGGGTGCCCCTGCCCGCGCCCGCGCTCCCGCCCCTGTCCCTGTTCCCATCCCATCCCTTCCCTTCCCCGTTCCCCTTCTCTGGCCGCGCCGGACCGGGGTCGCGGGACTCCGTCCCTGCGGCGAGGAAGAACCTGGTCTTGCTCCATAGAAAATAATTTATTGAAATCACAGCTATCCATGGGCGGGCGCCAGCGGCAGCGCAGGCCCGGCCCGGCCCGGCCCGGCCCGGCTCAGCCCGGCCCGGCGGGCGGCCAGGGCCCGGGGGCTAGGCGGCCGCACTCCCCGTGGCACGGACAGACGGACACGCTGCCGTATGTACAGTGTTTACACGGAATAAATAAGGGACATGTACACAGGAGTGAGAGCGGGCTCCCGGGCCCGCCCCCGCCGCCGCCACCCGCCCCAGGGTTCGGGAGCCGCGCCGGGCTCAGGGCCGGGTGCCCTGCTCGATCTGCTGGTGCTGGCTGCGCACGGCGAAGCGRTTGACGTGCACCGGGATGGGCACCACGATCTTGGGGTTGCGGACGGGCTCTCCCGAGCGGTTGCTGACATTGCCAGCCTTGATGCGTTTCCACTTGGCGCGGCGATTCTGGAACCAGATCTTCACTTGCACCTCACTCAGCTTCAGGGCGTGTGCGATCTGCGAGCGCTCCGTCAGGCTCAGGTACTTCTTGCAGTGGAACTCCTTCTCCAGCTCCAGCAGCTGCTCGCTGGTGAAGGCCGTGCGGCGCCGGCGGCTCTTCCCGGCCCCGGAGCCCGGCGGGGGCTGTTCGGCGGCGGGGCCGCCCTTGCCCTTGCCCTTGGCTCCCAGTGCGGTGCCAGCAGCCGCCCCGTCCAGGAAGGGCTCCTCCTCGCTCTCGCCCGCCGAGCTCTCCTCCTCCCGCTCGCTGCACGGCGTCGCCGCCGACTTCACCTCCAGCTTCTCCTCGTCTGAGCTGTACGCCTTCCCGTCTGCGGGGCACACAGCGTCAGTGTCCGCCGGCGCGGCCCGCCACCTCCACCCCCGTCCCGCCGCCCCCACCCCGCCCCGCCCGGGGTCCCTCAGCTCCCAGAGGTCCCGCAGCCGCGGGGGAAGCTCTCCCTGCTTCCCTCGGCGGGTGGCTGCAGCTCYTCCCGCAGTCTCGGACTCCGCACTACCGGGTCCCGCAGCCCGGGGCGGGGGAAGCAGCGGCCCCGACCCCGGTAGCCGCAGTCCTGCACCGGGTGCTGCCGCGGGCAGAGCCAGCCGCTCCAGCCGCGGACCACAGAGCCCTGCTCGCGGCAGCCTGCCCGGCTTCAGGGACTTCAACCGACAGACCCAGCGGCCACCCTGGGGTCCGACCCCTTCAGCAGTTGCCCCGTCCCCATCCCACGAACCAACGGTAGCAGCATCACGGTCTCAGTATGGCAGAATGCATCACAACACTTCCAGGGCTTGTCTGCACCTTGGCATCGGAAAGAATGCCCATACCTTGTCCCTCAGCTCAGCCCTCCCTGTCCTTTCCCAGTGTACCAGACCATCGATGCCGTTCAGAAAGTAGCCAGCCAAGAGCTGAAGAACTGTCCTAGAAACAGCACCCAGAGCCAGTTCCAGCCCAGGAAACCTCTCTGCTGGGCTCTAAAGGACACGGGGTGGTTCATTTCTGGCTCTCCCTCCCTAATCTAAGGATGCACCACAGCAGACTGCACAGCCAGGGAACAAGGTGCTGAGGCAGCCGATGCTCAGTGCTTGGCTACCCCCAGCAGTGGGCAGAGGGGCAGGACAGAGCACAACATCACACAACAGACAGCACCTCATCCCAGGCCACCAGACAGAAGGCAGCACTTGAATCACCCCGAACACCTCTGTTAAGATACCTGTGAGGATATTGATAGAGTACTGGTGTATGAATCTCTTCCTTGCAAGCTTCTTGCATCTCGGACTGCTGCCTGAATGATAAAACAGCCATGGAGCAAGGGAGGGCATGGTGGAAGGTAGACGGGAGGAAAGAGGTCTGGAAGATGGTCGCTTCCATGGCAGAAGGGCTCAAATGARAAGATGCTCTTGGTCATGGACAGGGGTCATGAAAGGAGGACCCACAGCTATACAAAAGCAGRTGTCTTCTAGAAGAAACCAGAAAATTCATCAAGTCTGACCCAAGAGCAGTAATCACTGCTGGAAGGAGCTGTCCTAAAGCACTGCCGCTCAATATAATCCAACATGCAGAAGGAGAAGCAGCAGCTTTCCAAACTTCCAAGCAGTATCTAGGTGCTGGCACATGCAACCTGGGCCACTGGATCTCTGGCCACCTCACCTCATTTCAGTGGGAAAGGCAAAATAACTCTCAGAAGCCTGACAGCGCAGGGTTCAAGTACACCAACAGCAACTGCAAGAGACTACTTGAGCCCAGAAAACATTTCTGGTAGTCTGGTGGCTGTGGAGTCCCCACATCCCTTGCCAGTYCTACAGCAAGCCTGTGGCTTCCTGAGAACAGATGGGTGGCTTTGGAGGTCTGGAATCTTCTCCCTTCGCCCCCTGCTTTCTACAATCGGAAAGAACACCTTCGTCTCTATCTTGCTGCAGAAAAATTTAAGAGTCACTTCTTTCTTCCTGAGGGCTGGGGACCAGGGAAGATATTTCCCATGTGCATAGAAGGTAAAGACCCAAACAATTTGTGCTCATGGGGCTGAGGATTAGCAGCAGCTGCCAAGGAGCACTTTGGCTGCTGTTGCRCAGCCTCATGCAAGCACTTTGCTGAAGAAAAGAAGAGCTTTCACTTCTGTGTACCATCTCTGTGTGGTAGAGCCTGGGACCTAGCACAGTAKCACAGTCCTTATGAGGAATTCTCCAGGGCTCTTTAGGTCCTGCTCTGGCACTGCAATTCCCCAGGGATGGAGGATGGCATCCCAGCAGCCACACCAGCAAACAGTGCTGGTGGGGCAGTTTTCTCCTGTCAGCTCAGGCTGTGCCCTGGGAGATTGAAGGAAGGCCGAGCAACATGACAGTTTGTAAAATAGGTGCTCTCTCTGAATACTCTCTTATGAACCAGACCAAATTTTAAATAGTGTCTAGCACTCTCACATTTTTGTCTTGCAAAAGGGCTGGGTTTGCAGTAAAGAACTCAAAGCTAATTGATGACAGAGTCTAAATCAGATGCTTGCGCAAAGAAAATTGGTATATTGGTCAGTTGGCCACCTACTATGTCCTCAGCAAGGAAGGAGTGAAGGCAGCATTCCCACCCGTGTGGTGGGGGTATACAGAGATTTTTAAGGCCTTTGAACATGAAGTGAAGCTGTCATGAAGCAAAGGATCGTGACCAAAAAATCAACGTGAAGTATTAGATGAAGAATAGGGCTGACCCGCTGGTTTGCTTTTTACAAAGTCACAGCTGTTCATTGATCTTGTCAAAGACATGGAAGAAAGTCCAAAGGAGGTCACAAAAATGCTCTGAGGGCTGCACCTCTGCTGTGAGGACAGGCTGAGAGAGTTGGGGTTGTTGAGTCTGTAGAAGACAAGGCTCCAGTGAAATCTTACTGCAATCTTTAAGGACTTAAAGAGGGCTGGTAAGAAAGACAAAGAGAGACTTTTAACAGAGCCTCTTGTGATCAGASAAGAGGTGATGGTTTTAAATGAAAAGAGGGTTGTTTTAGATTAGAAATAATTAGAAATAAATAAAGAATTATTCAAAATTAGTGTGGTGAAACACCGGAGCAGGTTGCCCAGATAGGCAGTGGATACCACATCCCCAGATGGGGCTTCATATAACCTGAACTTGTTGAAGATGTCCCAGCCCATGGCAGGGGGGGTTGGACTAGATGGCCTTTAAAGGTCCTTGCCACCCCAAACCATTCTGTGATTTCATGACTATGGATGTGGAAAGCATGGTGAAAGAGACTTGAGTRTCACAGGTGACAAAGCTATTCAAGCAGGATCTGGAAGACCTGGGTCAGGATTGGGTGCTGTGCTGAGCACTGTGTCGGCAAGCACACAAGGAAACAACAGAAACTTCACCCTGTCCCTGGCTGAATGTGCAGTCACTACATCAAACCAAGAAAGGGTCTCCAACTGCTGCCTGAWTCCCAGAGGAGATCTGTACAGTTCAGGAACAAACCTGCTTCCACGAGAGGTGTGGAGAGCTAGGGATGTTGAATACCCTTGTCCCCGGAGCCATGTCTTTGTTGCAGCTGTAGAAATAAACCAGACTTCAAGCTTTGCTGCTTCCCATCAGCAGTTTTCCCTACATGTCTCTCCCTGTTCAAGAAGGGTGGCCACAGCTGGAAGCAAGTTTCAAACCCAGTGGATGCAGAGAGAAGCCCTAAAATAGCACATTGATCCCTTTGGYTGATCCAGGAGGCAACTGATCCTGTGTCCATAGGCTCCAACATGATGGAGAGACTAACAGAGCCTAGGGACAGAAGCAGTCACTCCAGGGYATAATGTCAGCGAAACAACCAAAAGGAGGCATTTATTCTTCACAAGGTTCTTTTACAGGTAAAATATCTGTGGAACATCTTGCCATATTGGATGTGGCAATGGCAAGGTTATCCCTCCTTCCTGGTGGACTTCGGGGGAGATTAAATAAGGCCACAGAAAACAAATTTGTCGAAGTTTACTAATATATAGAGATAATACTTGGYGCAGGAAGTCCCTGACGTGCAGACAGTTGGATGTGAGGGAAGAATCATTATAGAACTAAGCATTGCAAAGGTTGTGCTCTCTTGCTCTTCCCTGGACAATTGCTTTTGGCCAGGGCCACGGACTGGTTGGGAGTGCAAACTGCATTATAGAGAGCTTTTGATGACTCCTTTTGACATGAATCATCTTTCTATTCCTTAATACCAGAAAAAGCCCACAGCAACCCTCCTGAATTTCCTCTAAGATGGTTGTAAAACAAACCCCACTGTCCATCTCCAGTTTTGTCTGGTATAGTCAGGAGAAGCATTAGGTAAAGGAGAAGGCAGGCACATTTGGTCGGACAAATCCTCTTAGACCTAGGCAAAACAGTCCACAGAACTGGGTCCACACTGGCATATGCCTGTGCAGAAGGACAAGCATCCTCCATGGCTCCAGAGCAAGCTCAGTGCTCAGAGGCAGCAGGGGATAAACAGCAGCAGCAAGAAATCTTCCCTTCCATCAAATGATCCGGTTGCAGTAGGAAACGTCTTAGAGGTAAGATTTCTTGAATTCAGAAGTGACCATGGTCTGGGACAGTTCATCTGAGTCTTTTGGGAGGAGGGAACATATTTGGCTCAGTTATGGAGGAGTCACAGAGGTAGATCAAGCACAATTGCAGTTAGTTTGCTCACAGACGGGAAAGATGAGGATGTATGGACAGGTAGTTTTGGCCAGGGCAGTGCTGCCCTCGAGAAGACTTTCACAAATGAAATAAGATGGCATTAGCCTTTGGACTCAGCACTGATGCTGGGGAGAACCAGAGGATCACCCAACACCCCAATAACCCACAAAGGCGAGGGGGAGGCAGAATGCCCCATTGTCCTGYTTGGGGTGCAAGGTCTAAGGGGTACCTGAGTGAGTGAAATGCTCTTCTGAGGGACAAACGAGGCAGGGCAAGAAAGAGACCTGGGATTACCCATGAGAGACTAAAGAGAGGATGGAGTACAAACAGCCGAGCACTGTAAGAAGCAGCAGAGACTTCTCGGCACGCATTCATGCCAAGAAATCTGTGAGACAAAGATGGATCTCAGGAGTGGCCGGGGGAGACAGCTCAAGTGAGGCCACGCCAGAGAAGCAGCAGCTGGCTAGTCTGGGTCTTGCTGCGGGTATCCCTCACGCCCCATGCTGCAGGACCCGAGGGAGAAGAGGTGAGTGCTGGACCTGGCTGAGAAATACGGAGCAACAAGTCTCCAAGGCTGCTGCCGGCGCACGCGGGGAGCGGTCGCAGCGCACAAAGGCGAGGACTCCGACGGGAGCCTTTCCTGGCCGCACCGGGGGTCCCGGGAGCGGCGCTGTCTCCTGCCCGCGCCGTCGGGCTGAGCCGGTGCCGTGACGGGGGGTGCGGCTGCCAGGACGGAGGAGAGCGGGGCTGCGGGCAGCCGCCACGGCGCGGGACCTGATCCACTGTCGCCCCTGCGGGGCGGGTTCGGGGGGAACTTCAGAAAGCCGGTAGTCGCAGCACGGCGACGCCGGAAGGCACCCGCCCGGGTCACGGCAGCGTACTGGGGACAAGGTGCAGCCCCGCGCCTCACCAAACGGGACCGGTACGGGGACCGGGACCAAGATCGGTAAAGAAGGGGAGGGCTGCGGACTGAGCYCCCCGCCACCTTCCGCCTCTCTCGCCCCGGGACGAGTGCCAGGACCTCGGAGAGCTCCGTGYAGCTGGTCCGGCCGCGGCTCTCCARTCCCGCCGTGGCGTCCCGCATGACCGGCCGCTCTCCCGCCCCTCCTGCCCCGGGGCTGGGCCGAGGCAAGCGAAGTTTGACTCCCATCCGCGAAATCTGCGGGCTCTGCGGAGCGAGTCTGGGACGGAGGGGAATCGGTCTGCTCCTCCAGGTTTGGCCCAGCGGGACGGCCCGGGAGTGCAGCCGAGGACAGGTCTCACCTCCGCGACTTGTGGCGACCCCGCCGTTCTACCCGCCGCGGTCCGGCCCCCAGCACCTCTGCTCCGGGGTTCCCGTTCTGGCGAGCTCCGGCCGTCGAGATCGCCGGCCCCCCAGGCGCCGCTGGGACGGCGGAGAGAACCCGGACAGATCTCCCCGGGACTGCGGGGATCCAGGTGAGGCGGGGCGGCTGCTTTTCGCCGGGCGGGGCGGGCCCGCGCCGCTCTTACCTGCAAGGCCGGGGAAGGGGTCCGGGAAGTGCAGCGGTGGCTCGGCCGGCCCCTTGTCGCGGCCCGGGGGCAGCTCCTCCGCCTCCAGGCCGTCGGCACCGCGCCGGCAGCCGGTGTCGGGGGTGGCGCGCGGCGGGGGRAGCTCCTGCGGCGGGTAGAAGCCGTCGGGGGGCTCGGAGAAGCTGGGCAGGGCGGTGGTGAGCGCCACCATGGAGGGCACGGCCTGGCCCAGGCTGGCGCAGAAGGTATTGGTGAGGCGGCCGGCGAAGGAAGCGAGCGGGGCCAGCGGCGGCAGCCCCGACTGCAGCGGGGCGTGGGACAGCGCCTGCGGTAGCACCAGCGGCCGGTACGGCATGAACATGGGGTACCCGGTGTAAAGCAGGTGCCCGGAGCGTGGCGGTGGCGTCCCAATGAGCGAGTCGATGGAGAAGGCGGTCCCCTGGCCGCCGGGTCTCTGCATGGCGAGCGGGCGCCTCCGGCTCAGCCGGCACCAACTTTCCGGCGAGCTCGAGTCGC